CCCAGCTCCTTTTGGGCCTCAAAACCTGTCCTAGGGACTCTGAGAGGCTCCGCATACAGACTACTATTCCGGGGCAGCCGGCCATAGGCAGGCCGATGGCTGTGCCTGAGCCCTGCAGGGGCTCCGGCGGGAAGCAAAGGAATGGTGGGAATGGAGAGGCACCAGAACCTGGGGGACACAGGAAGCCGGTGAGCAATTCTGAGTTGCAGGGTGGGAGCTAGCCCTTCCCGCACACGGCAGCTCCTTCCTCAATCAGGACTCTACCTCACCAGGCCCCAAGCAGGCTGGGCCCCAAAACATCAGTTTGGGGGAGACACCTGAGCCAAGCCCAGTCCTCCCGGAAGCGAGGCCCAGCTCCAAAAATGTCCTCCAAGTGTTCTGCGGGGAAAGCCTTGGACTGAGTTAGATGCTGTGTCCACCCAGAAGGAACCAGCCACAATCCCCAGCACCTGAGTCCACATCCCCTGCCTCAGTTTCCTATCTGTTAAGTAGGGAAGCATCCTCTCTGACATCCCATCCTTGGAAGGACTCAGGGGCTCCAAGGGCAGACATCCTTTTAAACCAAGGTACCTTTGGTTCTGTCAAATACCAGCCACCTCTGTTTAACGCTGCCACCTTCTATCTGGCTTCTTTCTCGGGTAGCAGCTGCCAGCATTAGGACTATGAATGTTAGGCTACTCCTAGAATATTCTAAAATGCATCTGACCACTAAACCAGTGGCGAAGGTCTCTGGGTTACCAGGGAGCAGGCAGAAATGACAAAGAAACCATGAGAAAAGTAGAAACCAAGCACTTCAGCATTTCCTTGCATTCAGAAAGCTGAGGATTTTCTTATCAGGTGAGCCTCCTAGGCAAGGGTGTGTGGGTGTGTGTGTAAGAAAGAGAAAAATGCAAAGAGATGCAAAACCAGAAGGCAAGAGAGAAAAAGACTGGGTTGTCTGGGAGAGCAGAGCCCCTGGGCCAGGTGGCTGCCTTTGGTCCTGAATTGAGGGCCGATTCAGCAGCATGTAACTAGGATAGAGCAGTTCGCAGATGGGACATGAGCGACCTGATTCTTCCCTGCAGCCACCCTCATCCGTGAAGTTGCATGAGGGCAGACTCTGCACCAGCTGTCAGCTATTCCTCTTGAGCCCAGAGCAGATGAAACAGATGTCTGCCTAGTCAGACACAGCTTAGAAACAGGGGGCAGGAAGGATGGCCCATCCACCCATGGAAAGAATAGACAACATCGGCATGACGGTTAGCCTTGGGGGCATAAAGTGTTGGCATCTTCCAGAAATAACCAAGAGCCCTCCAAGAAGTGGGTGTTTAGCCACCCTGTCCCCAGGGTGCTTTCAAGGTGGATGGAGTCCCCCAGGATTCTGTGAAGGCAATGAGGGGAAAAGAGGAAACACCTCACAAGAGGGGAGCAGAATGATCTCATCATTGATGGGGACCCAGCAGTGTCAATGGCATCACCAGGAAAGGAACAAAAGGACTCCCTGTGAAAATCCTGGCACCGCCTCAACTTGCCCCACTCTGCACCCCTGAAAAAAGTCACACTCAAGGGATGTTCAGGGGAGACCATCTGTTTATTGCAGCCAATAAATCCAAGCAACGAGACAAACTGCAACAGAAACTGTCTGCTCCCCAAAGCAGACACATCACAGCAGTTGGGTCACAGAGGACCATTTCAGTTTCTCTCTCCACCACCTCTTCCATTACCACATAGCACAGAAATCCTAGAAAGTGCATAAGTAGTTGTGTTTTCCCCTCCAAGTGCACAAAGAGCAATAAGAACGTTCCATAATTTGCCTTTGGTGAATCAACTCAAAACAGAGAAATGATTGTTTCCCCCTCAACGTAACTTTCGGGGTGGATGTAGTGAGATGTTTTATATTTGTATATATAATATATCTCTACCTATATATAGACTATGTACAAACGCATCAGCAAGCTTCAATAAAGGAAGACATCAGCAAGAGGCACAGCAAGAGACACAGGCTTTCTATCCTTAAGACGTATGTAGGAAGAAAAATTTCTACATTCATCACCCGTTCCAATTGCACCAAGCCATTCCTATGGCCTGGGACTGTCTTTTGGACCTGGCCAGTATTTTCAATTGTCCATCTGCTTAACCTGATCTTGCAAATACTTACCAGCCCAACCTCACCAAGGAGATTCACAGGGAGAAATATGGATCCAGCTTTTCCTTTTTATAAATTGGGAATAACTGTGATTAGTCCAGAGCTAGGGGGCAGATAGCTATTTCCAAAGCCAGTTCCAAGGCACCTCAAGGCATTTCAGTCCTGAAAAAGCGTGCTTTGTTCTTACAAGCTAAATCCCATGGGTGGGCAAGCCCATCTCTCTTTACAGGGGCCCTTAATTAGGAGAAAGGGACAGAAACGGGGTTCCAAGAGAGCAGGAGAGGCAGAGGCAGTTGAGAAAACCAGCAGACTGAACCCAGCAGAGCACAGTGATGGGAACATGCAGCCAGAAGTAGGGCTTGAGCCCCACATTGCAGGAAGAGGTATACGCTAGAAAGCAGGGTGCTGTGGAAACATCTCACCAGTCTCCCACCTCTACTCACAGAAGCTCCATTTTGTTCCCAGCCTCATTGCCCTGGGGGAGGCAGCTCTATGAGGCCTCTGGAAGAGACTCTAAGAGGCTCGGGAAGAAAGTGCATATGAGGATGGGTACCTGAGACAAAGGTGGTTCCTGGCCCATCCCCATCTGCTTGGGCGCCTGAGGCCCCTGGAGAGGCATTGCTCTCCCTAGGACCCTCTAGGGCAGGGCAGAGAAAGGAAGGGACCCAGAAGTCTTGAGCTTCTTTATAGAGAGTTAGGACTTCTTAGAATAAACCTAGGGAATCTTGCAAACAATTTCCCTAAATGTTATGAGTCCTGGAAAAAGAAAAGTTCCCAGCATCCACACAGATCCTCACTCATCCCGGAAGAGGAGAGCACTTAAGAAGTTGCCAAAAAGTGAAATCTGCAAGCTGCAGACATGTTATTACAACCACCCTTGGTCTCAGCTGGAACGAGGGTGCCCACTACCCATCTCTCCCCTCTCAGCTGGTTGGCTCCAAGGATGGGCGATGTCCACCTACCCCAGGCATCCTGGGGGCTTAGCCCACCCCCATTGGCAGTGTGTTGATTGGCAGTTAGGTACTGATGAGCTAGAATTTCCAGGTGAGCTGGACTCATCCCACCCAGGAGCTCTCAGGCTGGTTGCCCACCCTCCAGTCTGTCTGGCCTCTCACCCTCTTCCCTATTGCATCTTCCCTCTTTCCTTCCTTTCCCCCCTTCCCAGGGCCCAGATTCTGGAATCTCTTCCTTTTTCTCCTACTCCAGCCCTGGAAGCAGTGGCTGCAGAGGTGGAATTAGATGCACCAAAAAAAAATTCATCTTGGTCCCCACAGCGCTGACCTAGCAGTTCCCAGCTCTGTTATTGCTTTGTGTGCATCTCCAGTACCTGGCCCAGTGCCTGGCACATAGGAGATGCTCAATAAATGGATGTTGAATTGAAGTGAATTAAACTGAATCACCCATATGCTATTACTCTCTCCCCAAAAAGGCCATCTGCTGGGCAGAGGCAGAGAGGGGTCCCAGAAGCTGTCAGAGTCCCATCTCTACCCCCTTTCCCCAGACTCCTGCCCTGGGCTCTGACCCCCTGAGCCTGGGCAGGGCCTGAGCTCTGAGAAAGGCTGGAAAGTGCTGCAGAGGGTCAGCCTGGGGTGGGCATGGGGCATTCCAGCAGCTCTGCCCTCCCACTCCCATCACCCCATCCCTGCCTCAGTCACAGCCTGGAGGGCCTGGGCTCCAGGGAGGTGAGCAGGGCTGGAGGAGCTCACCTCCCTCCCCTCATCTCCTTCATCTCTCTGTCTGCAGAGGCCCCTCCCACTGGGCAAAGCGTGGCTCTATTCATCCAACCTGGAGACTGAGGAACCAGAGGAGAAGCAGGCCCCTCGGTTGTGAGTTTGAACCTCAGTCTCCAGGTCTGTAGTATGGGTGACTTGGCTAGCTGATCTCTGAGGATCTTCCAAGGCAGTTTCTCTCTGTCTCTCTCCCACTCCTGAGGCTTGAGCAATTCCCTCTTCATGTGAGTAAAATGGCAGTGAAAGTTGGCTCCCCACAAATTCTACTTTCCTCCCCACCCAGAGAGAACTGTAGGGGCAGGGGAGGGTGTGACATGGCTCCAGATGTGGCATGGCCACAGGGTCTCAGAGGCTACAAGGCTCCCCTCATGCTTCCCTCAGGGCCAAAAGCCAGATGAAACCCTGCTGAGGGTAACGGGGAAAGTCTGAACAGAAGCCCCAGCGAGGCCCCCGCTCTGCACACCTACTCCTCTGACGTGGCTCCCACCCCCTCCCTCCTTATCTCCGCACCTCAGCTGCTCCTGGCCCAGGTGATGGTGGCCACCCTGGGGCAGAAGGCAGTCAACCTTGAACTCCATTTTACAACGGAGCCCCCAGCCCCTCGTCCCTGAGCTAACTTTGCAGTTGCCTCCTGTGAGTGGGTAACTGCGGTGAAAAATGACCACCACCTGGAGAAACACGACTCCCCGCCCCCCCACGGCCTAGCTCAGCAGCCCTTTGGTGCTTTTCCTGCCAAAAATCCCAAGGGCTTAGCAAGCCCACAGAAACCCAGAGGCTTCTATGGTAGCAGCTATCGAAGGAGAAAGGTGAGAGCAGAGCTCCCTGGGCCAAGGCTCGTCTCCAGCTGCCTCCAGCTTCCTTCCCTTCAAGGCCCAGGAAACGCACGGTCATCCCTTCAACACACCCCCAAGTTATAGGAACCCATCACCTCCCCCGTGACAAGGCTGCCTAGGGCTAGGGGCAGCTCGGGGAGCAGAGGCATGCCACACCCCAGGCCTTCTAGAGGCAGCCAGCAGAGCCCCATCCCACCTGCAGGTCCCCTCTGAAGCTGCCACCAGGCCAGTCCACGCACTGGGCAGGCTGGACAGCTGGCCTCCTCCTCCACTGCCCACCCTCCCCCTTCTCTCTCTGCGCCCCTCCCACAGGCCTCCTGCCTCTTCTCAGAGGTTGACAGTTTTGAGCCCGCTTCCCCCTCCCCCCAGGGCCCACACATCCCAGACGCCAGGGCAGGTTTCTTGAATCAAAGAGAGGTGAGTCTCTCTTGGTACAGGGTGGCGGATATGAAGGGAGGGGTTCAGGAGGCCCCAGGTCAGCCCTGGGATCCCGGTTCAAGAGAAGCACACCAAGAGAGGGCAGGCGGGGGCACACCGTGCGGGGCGGAGAGTGGGAGGGAGACAGGACGCGAGGGAGGGGCTGCAGGGCCGGCCGCCCGTTACTTGGTGCCATCGTCCGCGTTGCCCTCTCCATCCGTCTTGCCCTCCTCCTCCGTCTTCAGGTCATCCGTGCTCAGTTTCTGCTCTTTTTTCCTCCTCACACACTTTACTACCATCAGCACCAAGATGACCACAGCCAGAAAGCCCCCGACGGAGGCGCCCACGATCACGGCCACAGTGGAATCCCGCTCAGGGGGCTCTGGAGAAGGAGAGGAAACAGACCCGCTGAGCCCTAGGGCTGGAAAAGGGAGCCTCGTCCACTGGCCCCTGCTCCCTGCAGTAGGTGTGGGGTGGCCCTGACTTTACTCTCCTCTGTGGAAAGCACTCTAGTCAAAGCAAAACATCAACCCAGGCCATGGACCTCTAAGCGCCCCACCCACCCCATAATCCCAGGGCACCTAAAAGCCCCAGGGGAGGACAATATAATGCAGTATCCAAGAGGATGGACTTTGAGGTCAAATGGACCCAATTTGAGTCCTGATTGTACTATTTATTAATTGTGTGACCTTAGGTACCTTACGTAGCCTCAGTTTCCTCTTCTGTAAAATGGGAATAATCATAGTACCTCCCTCATAGGGTTGTATGAGGATGAAGTGAGATATTGCATCTAGAGAGTTTAGCCCTAGCTATAACTGAGACATAGCAAGTGTCCAATAAATGAAAGCTGCTCTTGGGATTCTTAAGATCGTGATCATGCTGGATAGCATCATCAGGACTCTCTGAGACATAGTCCTCAAGGACGGGAAGGAGTAAAACAGATGCCTTCCACCCAGCACATGCTGTTGCTCCCGCCCCTCCGGAGGGCACAGCCTCTCCCAAAGAGCCCCAGCTAGTCCTGCTGGAGAGTAGCTGGGTGGGAATGGGCAGGGCCCCCCCAGCAGCTCTTCACCTTCCATGAGGACTTGCAGGTAGATCTTGCCGTGGCCGCGGTGGCGGTCGGGTGGGTTCATGACGTAGCAGTTGTAGGTGCCCTCATCCTCCAGCTGCACGTTTCTCAGTGTGACTGACACGTCGTACTTGCTGGGGTTCCCTGAGAACTCCACGCGGTCTCGGAACCGCTCCAGCTTCAGATTAATGATCTTCATGCGGAACTGGAGAAACTGGGGGGGCAGGAGGCGAGGGACAAGATAGGGGGCTGGATGAGCAAGGAGCTGCAAGGACAGCAGGATGCCCCTCCTCCCACGCCCCCTTCTACCTGGAAGAGAGGCAGTCACCTCTAGATCTCTGCCACCCTCCCAGGGCCACCCAAGCACGACAGCACACCTCTGCCAATGCCCTCAGGAGCAGATAGCCCACCAGGGTATGCTAGGGTCCTGGTACAGTGCAGGGGCAGGTGGTGGGAAAGGGGAGCTTCACGCTGTGGGGCTCCTGCCTCCCCAACCCCTGCCTCTATCTGAGAACTCACCATCTCCTCAGAGCAGTTACTACACTCCTGGTAAGTCCAGTTCAGGGAGAACTGTTTGTGGTTCACGGTGTAGCAGGAGTTGAAGGTGCAGGACAGGCGGGCATCAGAGCCATTGAGGACGTTGAGGGTGGTAGGTACTGTGACTTCCATGCTCCTCCCTGGTGGCACTGTGGACAAAGCCACAAGCTGGTGAGGATTCTGGCAGACAAGGCCAGGGAGGGGGCAAGTCTCTGCACCTGGTGGGGAGCAGAGCAGAGCTAGGACAGCTGGCGGGGTCCCTTATGGCTGAAATTAGGGGGTGGGGTGGGGTGGGCAAAGCTCCTAAGCGGTAACTGATGTGGCCCTTGGGGTGGAGAGAGAGCACATCATCTGTCAAGCCAGGGACAGACAGATGGCCTCAAGTCTTCCCTCCATCTGGCTGTCCTGCCACAGGCCTGTCATGGCCACCTGATGGCTTGGACAAGGGGCTGCATGGTGCTGGCCTCGGTTCCCCCTTCTTCCCACCACTTTCAACCATCTCGGCTGAGCCAAAGCCTTTCCAGCTGAAGCTGCGGTGTCCCCTGGGGGCAGGCAGCCTTGAGGACAGATGCAGATTCAGAAGGCCTCGCTCTCTATACCGCAGGGAAGAGTCAAGCCATATGCCCAGCCCAGCCCCCTTCTCTTCCTCAGGCTCCTGGCAGGGACAGCAGATGAGCAACGGGAAGGAAGAGATGCCCCAGAAGAATAGGCACAATTCGAAGGGATCAACTGATGGGTCTACAAGGACAGGAGTCCCTTTTGGAGATGCCAGGCCTGGACACACCGCAGCAAGGAGCTGATACAGGCTGCAGGGGACAGCAGGGTGCAGAATCCTCTGGGGAGCCCTGGACCCGGTCCAGGAGCCCTGGGTGTGCGGCCTGAGAAGGCCCATCCCACTCTGACATTCCAAGCAGGGCAGAGTCTAGGGTGAGGGGAGTGAGCCGAAGCCCTCCCAGCTGAAGCTGCAGTGTCCATCCAACCCCCGCCCACAGAGGGGCAGAAAGCCTTGGGCACAAGATTTAAGGGGGTGCCCACCCTCAGGCTCATGCAAACACCTCCTTAAATTTTGCACCCTAGGCACTGCACTCACCTCACCCTAGCCCTGGGCTGAATTCTAAAATTCTCTGCCAATATGGTCAGAACCTCATCCCAAAAGATGAATATTCTTTATAAAGGAGAAGCAGTAATGCTCAGTATCAATCATTCATTCACTCATTTACCAAATATTTATAAATCACCTCCTGTGCCCCAGGCACTCAGTCTAGGCCCCAGGGGTTATTGCTGTGATGGAGGCAGGCAGAGGTACTGTAACATGGAGCTTACATCCTAGGGAAGGGGACAGACATTAACAGGGGAAAGAAATAATGTAACTTTAGCTATTGATTCACAGGCAAGGGCCGTAAAAAATAAAGCAAGGTGCGGGGTGTGTTTGACATCGGGTGGTCAGGGAAAGCTGCTCCGAGCGCGGCCCTGTAGATGGCCCCCCACTAAAGTGAAGGAGTGAGCCATTTGAAATTCTGAAGGAATCCAAGACAGCAGAACATCAAGAGGAAAGTTCCAGCGGTTGGAATGAACATCACGTATCTGAAGCACAACCAGCAGAGTGATCAAGCGGGCAACTGGAGAGAGCCGAGGTCCCAGAGTTAGGCCAGGACCAGGACACTATTCTTCTGAGTGAGAGAAGAAGCCGCTAGGGGACGGCAGGGATCAGCTAGGAGGCACAGAGACCCCATTAGATGTGGTTCAATCCCAGCTCTGCCTTCTATCGGCTGGGAGAACATGGGCAAGTTCCTCCATGTTCTGAGCATCAGGCCCCTCCTCTGTAAAACGCAGCTGATGATACCTACCTCCTGGGGTTACGGTAATAATTAAATAAGATAAAATATGTAAAGAAAAGGGTAGGGGAATTCCCTGGCGGTCCAGTGGTTAGGACTCAGCACTTTCACTGCGGTGGCCCGGGGTTCAATCCCTGATGGGGGAACTAAGATCCCGCAAGCTTCAAGGCACAGCCAAAAAAAAAAATACAAAATAAAAATAAGGCAAAGGGTAGCCTAAATTCTCCTCAAGTTCTGCCCCCTTAGCAGGAAGGGCTTAGGCAGGGCCGCGTTGGAGCCTGACCCCTCAGGGCAGCCCCTTGGTATTCCCCCGGATTGCACAGGGCTCGTGTTTTGCAGATTTCACTGTACAAAGCTGCCGGGTCCCACACCAGGGACAGCAGCACTGCAGCCTGGAAGCAGGGATAGCGAAGCCCTTCCACTCGGCTCATCCCTTTGGATGAGTGGCCAGGGCCAGCAGGCAGGACTTAAGAACAGGAGATGCTCTGAACTGCTGGCCAGGGAGGTCAGGACCCAGCCCTAGATGGAGGGACAGGCGCACGGCTCCACCTGCAAGGCCAGGTGTGCTGAAGTGCTCATCAGGGAAATATGAACTGGAGAGGCTGAGCGGCAGCCCCAGGAGAACAAAGCCCAGTTCCCATCTCCTCGCTCTCACAGCGTTATGAAAGCACTGAGCACAGCGCCAGGCGAGGAGGAGGTGTGCTGAAAATGCCATCTCCGCCCCCGCTCTGCAGAGGCGGAGGTATCTTCAGGGAAGGAGCCCCGCAGGGCCTTGTCCTGAGCTTACCTCACACCCCAGGAACACCTTGCTTCTCTAGCACCTTCCCAGGGCACCTGAGCAAAAGGAGCCTCCAAGTGGCATTAGGAAGTAGGTCCCACACATCTGGCTGACCCATCCCTGCCTCTGTCCCGCCCCAGGTCACAGCATCACTCCAGAGACAGAATTTGAACCCTACCAGGAGCTCCCTCCATCTTGAAGGAGCTAGCACTCTGCTGTGCGGGAGGGCAGGGCCCTGGGGAGTGAGGGGCCTTTTCTGGCCAGCAGGAGCGGGGCAGACTGAGAGGTGCAATGCGGGTCCTTCCCCGCATCCCTATGGCACAGCCTGCAAGAGGCACCAGGCGGACACGTGTGCCCTCTAGTGGTCGGAGAGGTCAACCGTCAAGTCCCAGCTGCAGAGAGAGGAACAGGAGTCACCAAAGCAGGGGGAACCTCAGGAACTGTAGATCCAGCTCCATCATCTTACCAACGAGGAAAGTGAGGCCTGAGAGAGACACACAGCAGGTAGGGACAAGCCGGGCCCCAAATCACGGTTCCTGACTCCCAGTACAGCGCCCACTTCCGCCTGAGGTCTCCCAGCATCCCAGCTCAGGGCAAGGGCCTTAGGCCTTTCACCAATCCAGGCTCTCATTAAAGATGAGGAAATCATCATGCAACGAGGACAGAGCTGTGAGCAAAATCCTGGGCTCCTGATGAGCTCTGCTGCTTCGGGAAATTAGCCGAATCCATGGCTAGGGCCACAAAAGGACTTCATAGTAACAACAAGGTGCTTACTGTGTGCCAGGCACTGTTTACATACCCTACAGATATCACCTCATTTAATACAGCAACCCTATTATCACCCCCACTTTCCAGGTGGGGAAATGGAGCACAAAAAAGTTAAATGAATAGCCCAAGTTCATAGCTGGTAAGTGACAAAGCTAGATTGGAACCCAGGCTGCCAGGCTTCCAGGCTCTAGACAGCAGGTTGAGGGGTGGAGGCTGGGTGAGGGGGTGATTTTTGTACCAAGGGGTCCCAGGGCTCAGTCCTCCTGCTGTCTACATGGCAGGTCCAGCCCCCATGTCAGCCCCCAGCCAGTCAGGCTGGCCAGAGGGGAATGGTCTTCTTAAAGGAACCTCCATACAAGGGGGGCTCACAATCTTCCTGGTTGTCCCATTTGGGACCAGGTCTGGAGCCTGAGTCTCTGATCTCCAACTCACAGAAAGGAAATGATTCAACAAGGGTACCGTAAGGATGTGGCTTTTGAGCTCAGTTACAAAACTTCACCAATGCCAGGGCCCCTCACTCTCTCTAAGGCGTATCTGGGCACCTCAGGCCCCATGTCATATATTTTTCTAACTGGCCCGTCTTGCAGAGATCACAAAAATTTGCTCATCTCCTGTCAAACACTATTTCCTACCGAGACTAGAAGTTAATTCTCTTCATGCCTCTTTCCAACCCTACAGCAACCTATGAGGTAGGTTAATTTTCTTCTTGGTTAAAGAAAAAGAACAGAGTTTGTCTAAGCAGAGAAATTAGTCCCCACCCTTTTGGAGCACGTTGTGTCCCAGGGCAGCCCCTGCCACCCAGGTGACGGTGACATGCAACCCAACTCCCGGGCTGCCTTACCATTCAGACCCACCGCCTCAGGTCTCCCTCCCAGGCCAGGCCACCCCCATGCAGCCAGGAGAGCACCTGTCCTTGTTACCCCTCATCCCCAATCGCCATTGGCTCCCTGCTGCTTTCAGGATCTCATCCAGGCTCCTGGGCTTCTGAGCCCTTTGCCATCTGGGACCATCCAGCATCCCAGCCTCATTTCCTGTCCTGCTCCCAACCCTTCATGCTTCCTCCACTCCAGTGACCCCGGAGTTCTTACTTTCCTGAAAACGCCACCTTCTTCCACTCCTCCATGCCTTTGCACGTGTTTTTGCTGCAGGTTGGAAAGCTCATTCACCCTGCTGCCCCTGAGCCCTCCTGCTTACCCCGCAGATCCCACCTAACAAGGCATCGCCCCCGTGGCAGCTTCTCCAGTGCCCCTGCCCTCTCCCCAGACCGGGAGGTTTCTGTCACTTCCAGACCAGGAGGCAGAATGGCATAGTGGCCAAGATCAGCGCTTTAGCACCGTGGTCTGATCTTAGGCAAGATGGTTCACCTCCCAGCACCTCAGTTTCCTCATCCGTAAAATGGGAGACAACAATAGGCCCTACCCCCTGGAGCCATTGTGAGGATTGAATACTAAAACATAAAGCTCACAGCAGTGCCTGGCACATGGTCAGCCCCCACCAAAGGTTAGCTGCTAACAGCACATGGGATGCTGCATTACTATTTTTTGTTTATGTTCCCTAGTCCCTCGGGAGGCTCTGGGGAGCTGATTCTTACTTATCTTGGTATCCCTGGACCCAGAACAGCATGTGACACACAGTGGGCACTCGATAAAAGTCTGGAGAGGGAAGGGAAGGCGTTTTCCCCCGTGTGTCCGTGTGCAGTGGGGTTGAGTGAGGACCAGACTCCACTTTCTAAGCCTCACCTAACATAACTCAGACTTTGGTACCCAGGCCAGTGACCGTGGAGCCAAGAGTTTTGAGAAAAACTCTAAGGAAAACCAATCATTTGGATTGCTTCTAACTGAAAACTAGTCTCATGTGCTTCTGTCGTGTGTACAACAGGTTGGCCAGCTGTCCCCTGTCCCTTTGTCAGCTCTGTAGTCATCCTCACAAACCCAGGCCCTGTCTCAGTCCCCTCCCTTGTCACTTGGGACATCCCTCCATCTTGGGGACTGATGCTGCTACAACCACCAAGGTTCCATTGTCCACTTGAGCCCTCGGCCTCAGAGTACCAGGGCCTGTCTCATCACAGCGCCAATCAAGTTCAAGTTCAAGGCCCCTACTCCTGCACCCTCCCCCCATCCAGGCTTGCAGAGGCTTTAGCCTCCTCCCACCACTACCTCACAGCCCCCATGCCCTGACCTCTTCACCCTAGATTCCATCTTTCTCTAAGCCACACCCTGGTCCTGGTCCCCGAGCCCCCTTGCTTTCTTCACTTAGATAAGGCTCTCCGTCCTGCAGGAAGCTCTCCCTAACTCCCCAAACAGGTTGCCTGTCCTCCATCCTCATTTCCTTGCATACTGGTCACTCACCCAACTCCCCTCTTTTGCCTGTACTTAAGATTCTTTGATCCAAATTATTGTTACTATAGCAGCATCATTTCTTAAATATCGGGGGCAATAGAATTCAGTGGTTAAGAATATGGGGTGAAGCAAAAATACACTCAAAATGGATTAAAGACCTAAATGTAAAGCCAGACACTATCAAACTCTTAGAGGAAAACATAGGCAGAATACTCTGACATAAATCACAGCAAGATCCTTTTTGACCCACCTCCTAGAGAAATGGAAATAAAAACAAAAATAAACAAATGGGACCTAATGAAACTTAAAAGCTTTTGCACAGCAAAGGAAACCATAAACAAGATGAAAAGACAGCCCTCAGAATGGGGGTTGCAAATGAAGCAACTGACAAAGGGGGTTGCAAATGAAGCAACTGACAAAGGATTAATCTCCAAACTTTACAAGCAGCTCATGCAGCTCAATAGCAAAAAACAAACAACCCAATCCAAAAATGGGCAGAAGACCTAAATAGACATTTCTCCAAAGAAGATATACAGATTGCCAACAAACACGTGAAAGGATGCTCAACATCACTAATCATTAGAGACATGCAAATCAAAACTACAATGAGGTATCACCTCACACTGGTCAGAATGGCCATCATCAAAAAATCTAGAAGCGATAAATACTGGAGAGGGTGTGGAGAAAAGGGAACCCTCTTGCACTGTTGGTGGGAATGTAAGCTGACACAGCCACTATGGAGAACAGTATGGAGGTTCCTTAAAAAACTAAAAATAGAACTACCATACGACCCAGCAATCCCACTACTGGGCATATACCCTGAGAAAACCATAATTCAAAAAGTGTCATGTACCACAATGTTCATTGCAGCTCTATTCACAATAGACAGGACATGGAAGCACCCTAAGTGTCCATCGACAGATGCATGGATAAAGAAGATGTGGCACATATATACAATGGAATATTACTCAGTCATAAAAAGAAACGAAATTGAGTTATTTATAGTGAGGTGGATGGACCTAGAGTCTGTCATACAGAGCGAAGTAAGTCAGAAAGAGAAAATCAAATACCGTATGCTAACACATATATATGGAATGTAAAAAAAAAAAAATGGTCATGAAGAACCTAGGGGCAGGACGGGAATAAAGACACAGACCTACTAGAGAATGGACTTGAGGGTATGGGAAGGGGGAAGGGTGAGCTGGGACAAAGTGAGAGAGTGGCATGTACATATATGCACTACCAAACCCGATAGCTAGTGGGAAGCAGCCGCATAGCACAGGGAGGTCAGCTCGGTGCTTTGTGACCACCTAGAGGGGTGGGATAGGGAGGGTGGGAGGGAGACGCAAGAGGGAGGGGATATGGGGATATATGTATATGTATAGCTGATTCACTTTGTTATACAGCAGAAACTAACACACCATTGTAAAGCAATTATACTCCAATAAAGATGTTAAAAAAAAAAAAAGAATGGGGTGAAGTCAGACAACCAGGGGTTCAAATCTCAGCTCCCCTTAAACTACTGTGACCTTATTGGGCAAGTTACTTAACCTCTCTGTGCCTGTTTCCTCATCTGTAACGTGAGGATCATAATGTATCTGCCCCATGCGGTTACCAGTTGCCGTGAAGACTAAACAAGATACACAACGCGTGGGCACGTGAAAAGAGTTCATAAACGGTAGCTATTATTAAGCACTTGCTATGTGCCAGACTCACAAAAAACCCAGGCAGTAGGTATTCTCCAGTTCACCCAGGAAAGAACTGAAGCTCAGAGGGGAGTAACTTGCCGATAGTATGAAGTAAATGACAAAGGTGGCTTTAAACCCAAATCGAGTCCAAGGCTCATGCTGTCTCTACTGCCTGAGCTTCCCTAACACTCCTGCTCTGTTGTTAATATGTTCAGTAACTCAGCAAAGCTCATAGGCCTTATCGTGCAGGCTGTCAGGGGCCCTGGGCTGTCTCTAGCACTCCAGCCCAATATCCAGCACAGCATGCCAGAGAAGGAGAGAAAAAGAGGGAGAGAAGGAGGGAGAGAGAAACTTTGTGATGGGGAATATTCCCACTGACAGCCGTTGGACTGGATCCTCAATTGCTATGCCAGCAATGAGTAAGTTTAAGAGCAAGAAGGAAACTACCTATAAAGCAGGTTTGCAAGTGACTCCCTAGCCCACCTACCCACCAGGAAGTCCATAAGTGACCATGTATGAAATTAGCATTTGGATCTCTTGACAGTCGGCAAGGTGGGGCTGGACAGTTCAGAGACGTGATCCAAAGGGCCACAACCACACTCATGTGTTCCCTTTTTTTCTTTTTTTTTTTTCTGATCCCTTCACCTGACCCCTCCTCCACTCCATCTGGCCCAAGCCAGAGAGCTTCTCCATCAGTGCCTGCTTCAGCAGTTCTCTTCCCAATGCAGAGATCACTCCTCAAGCCTGCTTCCCACCTACGCCTCCACACACTGCAACAAATCGGTGGTACAGATTTCCGGGAAGCCAGACCCAGACTCAAGTTTCTGCCCCTCTACTCCCCCGTACACTCTTTTCTGACATCCTAAATCCACCAGATTCCAAAGATCAAGGTTCACAGAAGAAGCCCCTTAAGGGAGCATTAAGTCCCAGGAGATTTGTAGCAGCTAAAAGAAAAAATCCACGAAGAGGCTCTGCACATCAGCCTACCCTCGGCCCCCAGCCCCACATACGTCCATTTCAGGGAAATCCAAAGAAAAATCACCCACTTGACAATTGACACCTCCGAGGAACACTCAGATCCCCTGACCCAACATTTCTGCGACCAAGTCGTCCCAGCGTTATGCAGTCCCCAGCCACATCTCCCCCCATCCCCGAGCCTCCCTTCCCAAGGACAACGCCGAAGGGAGGCTCAAGCGATGTCTTCTTTCCTGCCCCCGGCCCCCATCCTCCTCCTGTTGCGGCTGCACTTCTGGACCCTCAGGAGCATGCAGTTGTGCAGTCTAACTTACCCAAAGAGAAAAAGAGACTGAGCCCCGTGAGACTGAAGGCAGGGCGAGGTAGCCAGGCATCTTTGTGCATTTTCAGAGACTGAGATGTTAGTCGGGTGGGATAGGGAGAAGGTGATTTGAGGGGCCGAGGGCAACAGGGGAGGAATGGTTAGATGCTAAAAGAAAAATGCACAGATGTACTTCAAAGACACATACAACATTAAGGAAGCTTTATTTCCATCTCTCTAATATGGCCGGCTTGTATGTTGCTGCTAAAAAGAGAGAGGGAGTGTGGAAGGGAGAGAGAAAAAAGTGGATGGAGTAAATTTTGTGGTTGGTGGATTTCAAAAAGGAGGTGGGAGGGCATAAAAAACTCTGTCTGCAAAGAGTAAAGTTCCTCGGAAATTTTTACCCTCCAAAACCAGAACTAAAGCATGGTCTGCCTTTCTTCTCCACTTGGGTGATTGTTGGAGTTGGAAAGTTGTTTGAGGAACCCATTTATTTCAAAGCTGCTGTGACAGGTGAATTCTTTTTGTCATTTAAAAACACCCAAAAAAGGAGAAGCTAATTTTTGTTTTGTTTGAAAAGGGTTCAGGGAAGTGAGGTGGGAGACTTTCAGAAAGTAAGAACTTCCTCATTTTTCTAGCATTTCCACTGAAAACAGAACAGCAGGTTGGTGTAAAAATACCTAAGAGCTCTTACAATCATTTGTAACATGAACTTTTGGGGAATCCTGATTCAATCAAATCAACAGTAAAAAAGACATTGTTGAGATAATTGGGAAGAAAATAAATATGGACTGGGTGTTAGATTATATTAATGAATAATTCTTGATTTGGTGGGGGGGGGCGTTAAAAATTTTTTGTGGTTGGGACTTCCCTGGCCATCCAGTGGTTAAGACTCCGTGCTTCCACTGCAGGGGGCGCGAGTTCGATCCCTGGTCAGGGAATTATTATCCCGCATGCCCCACGGTATGGCCAAAAAAAAAAAAATTGTGGTTATGTTCTTTAACATCATTATCTATTATACACATTGGAGTGCTTATAGGTGAAATGATACGATGGTTGAAATTTCCTTCAAAATATTCTGAGAAAAAAAGTGGGGGGGAGGTAGGTGACACAAGACCAGATGTTGAAACTGGTTGTTTCAACAGATGTTGAAAAAGGGAGAAAACAATAGGCTAGTGTCACAAGTAGGAGAACTTGGGGTGGAGTAGCCACGTGGCCCTAAGCAGATAAGGTGACCCCCACTCCTCTGGGGAGATATCTGAGGAGAACACAGGTTCTCATGCAGCCACTACACACTTGCGATGGGCCACTGATGCAGCAAGGAGGGAGCCACCCACATCTTAGAGCATTAACTCTGTGCCAAGTCTTTAAAAGTTTGTACTTAATTGTAAGCCTGGAAGAGGTGATTTCTTCTCTCTCTTTTTTTAATTGCAATGAGGAAACAGAGGCCGACAGGGCCTAACCCACTCAAGTTACCTAGGATAGTTAAGGGCAGAGTCAGAGCCAGGACTCAAACTGAGGTCTGTGTGAAATACTGGGCATGTCCAGTATTCCACGTCACCTGTTGCCAAGGCGAGGAGACACGACACCTTCCCTTGGGGTGTTTAGAGACACAGGGAAGAGAAGACTGCACTAGATGAAGCAAGGGGCCTCTGCGTGTGCGTGTGTGTGTGTGTGTGTGTGTGTGCGTGTGTGTGTGTGTGTGTGTAAAAGAAGGTGCTAAGAGGCAGGGCATGGAGGAACCAAATGAGAGGCCAGCACAGTGCTTGGTTCAAAGCAGACACTCAATAAACAGGTGCTGCATAGCTGCAGGGGGGCACCCTGAATGAATGAATGAATGAATGAATGAATGAATGAATTTGGAGAGGAGTGAGACATCGTCCACATCATCGTGAAGGCAGTAAAATCTAGCTGAGGCCGCTGAGGCTGTCCTAGGCTGGGGAGGAGTGAAGTGGGCCAAATTTGGGTGGCAGTTGCTAAAGGCAGAAAGGCGGAGAGGAGGCCTCTGTGCTTCTCCACACCAGAGGTGGTTGTCAATGCCTGGATCTTGCACAGACTCTGTCGCCAAAGTTCCTCTGTCACTTCACCAGAGTCTGGCTGCAGCTGGCTCATGCATTCACAGAGCTCACAGCCCAAGGGAAGGAAAATCAGAGAAGAAGAGATGCGGCAGCCTAGGGAAAAAAGTGTCTTCCGATGGCCACAACCCTCAGGCCCCAGGCCTCCTCCGCTGTCGGCAGTGGCCTGGCTCGCAGGTGTGCCCGGAGAGATAGATTGGCACCAGCCCCTGCCCTGGCTCCCACACAGCCCCTCGGCCAGGTCTGCAGCACCATGTCAGCCCGAGAGTTTTGGTTTGACATAGCCGGCCTCCTCCTTTTTCTTAGTGCAGCTGAGCGTGCCTGTGAGGCCCAGGGAAGCTGATTACCGGGCTCACTTGGTCTCACACTGGGTCCAGATGCTTCTGTTTTGGGGACATCTGAGACAAGAAGGGGATCCAGAAGTTCCTTTGCCTCAATCCAGAATTTGGCTAAGAGAAATCAAGTATATGACTTTATAGACTTTGTCCAACTCAGCCCTCCAGGACCAAGGGTCAGAAGGCGCCAGATCAGGGGAGAGACACCCTGGCAGGGTGAGTCAAGAGGAGAGCTACCCCAGAACCTCCCCTCAACTCACATGGGCCTCCAGATGCCCATTTGCTCCAAAAGAATATGCTTTCCCCAGGAGCCAATAAAAGCCTGGGAAGCAGAAACGTGAAGGGGTATTTTGCAGAAAGAAGACACCACTGTTGAAGACTGGCCATTTGGGAAATGAAGCCCTATTTTCGGCATTTCTACCCAGTGCCATTCATCCGTGAAGATTTTATTAGACAACACTCAATTACCTACCCTGCTGGGGAAGACTGTTACAAATAATCTAAAGGAAGGTAGTTTCCTTTTGTCTTTGGAATTCGTGGTTGAAGCTACAAAGAGCCTCCCTAGGTACCACTGCCCTACTGGACCAGCATCCTCAGCATCACCTGGGATATCCTTCGAAATGTACAGTCACAGGCCCCACCTCAGACCCAAAGAATCAGAATCTGCATTTTTAACAAGATCTTTAGGTGTTTCTTGAGCACAGTAAAGTTTGAGAAGTAACACCTTTAGCTAATACTAAAAGGTTTGCATCCCAGGAGCAAGGGGCAATGCAGAGGCCAGGTTTGCGGGGTTGGGGAGAAGGCACCGGCAAGCAGGAACAAACTTAGGGGTAAATGGGCAGAGCAACCGGAGGCCTGCTCAGGGATAACAATCTCACTCACCTCTCTCCTCTGCCTGGGCCCTTCCCAAGCCATTCCACACCAGGCAAGGTTTATCTTACCCCGCATAGGGTTTCACATCATGGTGTCTCTGCCTTTGCAGTTTCCTCTTCTAGGAATGCCCTTCCTCCCTTGTCTACTCAGCCAGCTCCTAGCCCTTCTTCAAAAATCTGCTACAAAGTAACCCCTTCTTTGTCGTACCTACATACCTCTCCTCTCTGCTGCTGTGACCCTGGGTCCATTCACTCATTTATCAATTCCCTCAGTCAACAAACTCAAATATCTATTTAATGTCCCCTACGTGCCAGACACTAGGCTAGAAACCAGAGACCCAGAAACGAGTGATATACAGCTCACCCTTTGAGAGCTTACCTTCTAAATAGGGAGACAAATGTATCAATTCCCATCTACAGTACACCTGGGTTGCCCGAGTCAGGGAGTATTGTCATTTTTTGTTTATACATCTTATCTCCCCAACTAGACTGTAGCTTCTTAAAGACAGGGGTTGTGTCTTATTCTTTTTAGTTTGTGCTGGGCCACTACTGGTCCCTGAGCAGGTGAAAATGAATGAATGAATGTCTATTTTACATCTGGGGAAAGAGCAGAAACTCCATCAGCCTGACCTTTCACAGCCAAAGTGTGGTAGAACCAGGACTGGGAGCCAGGTCCAGCCACTCCACACCCTAGGAATTCCATTCAACAAGGGACTGTCCCACATGGGGTCAGATGCTGCAAAGCTCACAGAAAAGACCTAAACAGGATCTCTAAGAGTTTAAGATCTCTCGCAGAAAAGAAAGCCTCACACCCATGAAACAATTAGAGAACATCAGAAGATAAAATCTGGTAAGTGTAGAGACATCTAGGAAGATGTGAGAAATAGGAGATCACCCAGGCGAGACTCAAGCAGGGCCTTGAAGGGATGTTGACTTGGGCAGGCAAGAAGGAAAAGGGAATTCCAGGCAGGGGAACACCAAGAGCAAAGGCTCAGAAGCACAAAAGATAAAGGTATATGGAGCAGAGGGTTCCTGCCATGGAAAAAAAAAAAAGACAGAGATGTGGATGGGTAGACAAGATGGCACCCAACCTCAGAAGGCCATGAACATATGACGTGGAGTTCAGACAAGGGCTTTGAAAGTTCTGGGACAAGTAAATCACTATTGCTCTCACCATCTATGAAATAAGAAAGGGTTTAGCTTTCTGTGAAAACTTCAAGTTCCCTGACTTTTTGATAAAGAAGGGGTGTTTTGAAAGTTGGGCTTTACAGAAGTGGTAATGGATCGCCTGATCTCCCTTGAGGAAGATCAAACCACATTTGCAAACCAGTTGGCCAGGACAAAAGGTCAGGAGTCTTGAGAAACTTTGTTTATTCTTAGTGAGAAGATAACTGGTCTGTGTTTGGATAAAACTTGCAGCCTAAGGTTCTTTGGGTCTAAGCAACTGAGCCAAATCAGTGGCAGTGTGACCCCTTCCACACACACACACACACACACACACACACACACACACACACACACCACACACAGAGAGAGAGAGAGAGAGAGCTCGTGTTTTATAAAAAAAAATTGCCTGTATAGACATGCAAGCATATGGGCTAGCCAAAAGGAGAGAGAGTGGGGTGGCAAAGAGAAACAAAAGACCAAAGGGCTGGCGGAAGGCTGCAGCCTTTAATAGGACGCACATCTTCTGCAGGTCCGCAGTGGACAGACAGGCTGAACTGTTTTCAATTCCAATAGCCAAACTCTGACAGTGCCAGATTATCCATTATTCTTGGGTGGCCCCACCCCCCCTACCCTTATGCTGCTTTCTGTTGGCAAAAGCCTGCTTGCTTCTGGAAGCCTTTGAATGTGGGAGTATCTGGTGTCCTAGAGACTTAAAATACTACAAATTTGAGTAACAAAACTGCTTGGATCTACCAGGAGATCCAGCTTGCTCCATCTCCAGCAGGTTTCATACCCTTCAGAATGTCACCCCTTGGAGCTATGCAAAGCCCTTCCCTGAGATCAGCTTCCTAACTCTTTCTTTGAATGGGAAGAGGGACTTAGGTATTTAGGGCTGCAATGGCTTCCTGCCCATAGAAATAAAAATTAATGGGAGATGGGGACTGAATCAGCAGAAGACAAATCCACTGGGGGAAACACACTGGAAGAGGATGGAGGGCCCAGACCAGGCTCTAGCCCCTAACTGACCTCATTTAGTCCCCACAATATATTTTCTATCTGGGAAATAGCCTCAAAGAATTGACATAAACTTTGCAATACTGAAGAGAGAGTAAGAGGCAGAGGCAAGATTTAAACCAGGCCTATTTGACCTTGAAGCCATTCCCTACGCCATATGCCTTCATGGCCCTGGATTTAGTAGACAACCACCCCTAGGCAAAGGGCATGAGGGAGCAAGCAGGTCTTTTCCATGGTCCCCTGCAGGGCTATTTTGGTTTGGGGCAAAATTATATTTGACAGCTGTGGACTTGCACTCTCAACTTTGACTCCATGCCTGTGTATAAGAGGAAGACTTGCGGAGAGGTAGGCCTGTGGGAGAGAGGTGGGCTTCCTCTTCCCCCTCCTTAGAATGGAAGCCAAACCTTGGATGAATCAAATTCAGATTTGATGTGGGCAAGTCAAACTCTGGAGGGGCATGCCCACACTTCCCGGGGGAGAGCACCCTCTGCAGGAAGCAACGTATGGAGAAGCTGCCCAGCCCACCCTCCAGCTCTTATCCCAAGTATCCCCTTCCACCCAGAGCAACAGATGTACAATCACCATCCATCCATCTCACTCGGTATCATGAAGGTCATCATCCTATGAAAACAATAATTGAGGAAGTGGAAAAGAGCCCCTTAGCCCAGGAGAGCATGTTACCTTATAGCCCAGAAATGAAAACACTTCCTTCCCATGAACTCTTAGTATATGAAAGACTCCTCCTCCCCCCTCTCCTTATCATGTCAACACGTGTCCCCTCTCTGGTATGTCTTGGACAGGCTATTGCCTTCAATCCACATACTGTAAATTATTGACATCCTCCTTATTGAGAGCTGACAGGTGAGAAGGAAACATTTAATGACTCTTAGCCATGGCTGAACAAAAAGAGGCTTCAGGCCTCCAAGTGGAGACCTGAGAGCCTTTGGTAAAAGAGAAAGTTAATGATGAGTGTGTTATAGAGGGTTCTTGATATTTGCAGATTTAAGGAAACCCTTCAAAAATGTAGCTCCACTTACAGCTACATGTAAAAGAATGAAATTAGAACACTTCCTAACACTATACACAAAAAAAAACTCAAAATGGCTAAAGACCTAAATGTAAGGCCAAACACTATAAAACTCTTAGAGGAAAACATAGGCAGAACACTCTATGACATAAATCACAGCAAGATCCTTTTTGACCCACCTCCTAGAGAAATGGAAATAAAAACAAAAATAAACAAATGGGACCTAATGAAACTTAAAAGCTTTTGCACAGCAAAGGAAACCATAAACAAGACGAAAAGACAACCCTCAGAATGGGAGAAAATATTTGCAAATGAAGCAACTGACAAAGGATTAATCTCCAAACTTTACAAGCAGCTCATGCAGCTCAATAGCAAAAAACAAACAACCCAATCCAAAAATGGGCAGAAGACCTAAATAGACATTTCTCCAAAGAAGATATACAGATTGCCAACAAACACGTGAAAGGATGCTCAACATCACTAATCATTAGAGACATGCAAATCAAAACTACAATGAGGTATCACCTCACACCAGTTAGAATGGCCATCATCAAAAAATCTGCAAACAATAAATGCTGGAGAGGGTGTGGAGAAAAGGGAACCTTCTTGCACTGTTGGTGGGAATGTAAATTGATACAGCCACTATGGAGAACAGTATGGAGGTTCCTTAAAAAACTAAAAATAGAACTACCATATGACCCAGCAATCCCATTACTGGGCATATACCCTGAGAAAACCATAATTCAAAAAGAGTCATGTACCACAATGTTCATTGCAGCTCTATTTACAATAGCCAGGACATGGAAGCACCCTAAGTGTCCATCGACAGATGCATGGATAAAGAAGATGTGGCACATATATGCAATGGAATATTACTCAGCCATAAAAAGAAACGAAATTGAGTTATTTATAGTGAGGTGGATGGACCTAGTGTCTGTCATACAGAGCGAAGTAAGTCAGAAAGAGAAAATCAAATACTGTATGCTAACACATATATATGGAATGTAAAAAAAAAAAAAATGGTCATGAAGAACGTAGGGGCAGGACGGGAATAAAGACACAGACCTACTAGAGAATGGACTTGAGGATACGGGAAGGGGGAAGGGTAAGCTGGGACCAAGTGAGAGAGTGGCATGTACATATATGCACTACCAAATGTAAAACCGATAGCTAGTGGGAAGCAGCCGCATAGCACAGGGAGATCAGCTCGGTGCTTTGTGACCACCTAGAGGGGTGGGATAGGGAGGGTGGGAGGGAGGGAGACGCAAGAGGGAAGAGATATGGGAATACATTTATATGTATAGCTGATTCACTTTGTTATAAAGCAGAAACTAACACACCACTGTAAAGCAATTATACTCCAATAAAGATGTTTAAAAAAAAATCTAAATTTAGAAAACCCATTATAAAAAATAAATAAATAAATAAACAAACTCAAAATGAATTAAAGACCTAAAGCTAAGGCCTGACACTATAAATCCCTTAGAGGAAAACACAGGCGGAACACCCTTCGACATAAATCGCAGCAAGATCTTTTTCCGACCCACCTCCTAGGGTAATGAAAATAAAAAGAAAAATAAACAAATGGGACCTAATGAAACTTCAAAGCTTTTGCACAACAAAGGCAACCATAAACAAGACAAAAAGACAACCCTCAGAAAGGGAGAAAATATTTTCAAATGAATCAACGGACAAGGGATTAATCTCCAAAACATAACAGCTCATGCAGCTCAATATCAAAAAAACAAACAACCCAATCAAAAAATGGGCAGAAGACCTAAATAGACATTGCTCCAAAGAAGACATACAGATGGGCAACAAACACGTTAAAAGATGCTCAACATCACTAATAATTAGAGAAATGCAAATCAAAACTACAATGAGGTATCACCTCACACCAGTCAGAATGGCCATCATCAAAAAATCTACAAACAGTAAATGCTGGAGCGGGTGTGGAGAAAAGGGAACCCTCTTACACTGTTGGTGGGAATATAAATTGATACAGCCACTATGGAGAACAGTATGGAGGTTCCTTAAAAAACTAAAAATTGAACTACCATATGACCCAACAATCCCACTCCTGGGCATATATCCAAAGAAAACCATAATTCAAAAAGATACGTGCACCCCAATGTTCATTGCAGCACTATTTACAATAGCCAGGACATGGAAACAACCTAAATGTCCATCAACAGAGCAATGGATAAAGAAGATGTGGTACATATATACAATGGAATACTACTCAGCCATAAAATGGAACAAAACTGGGTCACTTGGAGAGACGTGTATGGACCTAGAGACTGTCATAGAGGGTGAAGTAAGTCAGAAAGAGAAAAACAAATATTGTGTATTAATGCATATATGTGGAGTCTAGAAAAATGGTATAGATGAACTTATTTGCAAAGCAGAAATAGAGATGCAGATGTAGAGAATAAACGTATGGATACCAAGGCGGGAAACAAGGGTGGGATGGATTGGGAGAGTGGGATTGACATATATACACTACCATGTGTAAAATAGATAACTAATGAGAATAGAATGTATAGCACAGGGAGCTCTACTCAGTATTCTGTGGTGACCTAAATGGGAAGGAAATCCAAGAGGGGATATAGGTATACATGTGGCTTATTCACTTTGCTGTACAGCAGAAACTAACACAACATTGTAAAGCAACTATACTCCAATTTTTAAAAATGTAGCTCACTTAAGATTGGATCAGAAATCAGAGACCCACAAAAGACCTGCTCTTTACCCAGGCCCTGAATGGCTAAGAGGGAAAAGTGGGATGCAGAGAATGGGGAAGGCCCTGTGGGAATAAAGATGAGGAGATCTGAGCTGGGCCCAGACGAGAAACAGGAGTTCAGAACCAAAGGATTTTAAAAACTAACCTCATTAAATCTTACAATAGCAACCTAAAGGTAAGGGAGCCTCACATTTCAGACCAAGAGTTAAACCAGTGGCTGTCCACTTTGGCGACACATGAGCGTCACTTTTGTAAAAGGCAAGTGCCCCAGCTCCACCCATGAATTCCAAACCAGAACACCTCTGGTGGAGCCCAGCAAAGAGCCACCAGCCACTCTGATACCCAGCCAGAATCAAGAAGCACTGCGTTAAATCAAAGAGCTGCATTCATACCCCACTTCCAACCCCATTCACCCCCTCAAAACTTTCCCAGGCCTCAAACCAGTGCCCAGTGTGTAAGTCACAGCACGGCTTTCCTCCAGTCACTTCAATTGTTTCAGGAGTTCCAGACCATAGATTCCTCACCAAGACTCCACTTGCCCCTCAGCCAGGGTAGAAACACAGGATGATTTCCACAGACTGCATTTATTTAGGGATAATTGGCCAAAGAAATCATTTGGGTTGCTTTTTATCTCTGTGATTCTTCCCTGTAACCATCCACAAAGAGCACCGTCCAAGCAGAGGGTCTGACCTGATGGGATGCTTGCGGCCACTGGGGCAGCTCAGTCAGGGTCCCCAGGGCCAGTGTCCCTCTCCAGAGGGACCAAGTCCATGCTCCCCCTAATCAGGGCCTGTTCCCCCAGAGCTGTCCCGTCTCTCTGCCAAGCTTCAAGCCCTCCATCTTCAGCCCTTTGCCCAAGCAATGAGGCCGGAGGAGGACTTGGAGGGCAGGGGGTCTGACATGGACTCAGGACACAAGGGAACGAGAGTCTGTGTCACGGCCAGGGAAAGAGAGTCTGTGCCACGGCCAAGGGCAAAGGGAACTCCCCCTTCTTTTCAAAAGGCTTGCTCTGTCCTTGGCATTCCCCCATCTGACTTTTTGTCAGATGGGCTAGTTGGTGCTGACCTCAGAGAAGGCCAAACTGGGTGCTGTGGGGAGAGAGAAACAAAGCACATTTGTAAGAAACATTTCAATCATAATAGTTACCATTTATTGAGCTCTTTCCATCTGTCTGGCCCAATTCTGAATTTCACATGCACTATCTCATTTGATCCTCACCACCCGAGAGATAGGTTTTATTATTCCCATTAAGGATTAGGAAACTGAAGTTCAGAGAAGCTAAGTTACCTGCCTAAGATTGAGCTAGCTTCTAAGTCAGGGTAAAGATTTGGACCCTGGTATGTCCAACTCCAAAGCCTGTGATCTTAACCATTGTGCTATACAGCCTCAGAAAGGGAACACGGCATGGTGCCCCCTTCATTTAAGTAAATTTAATCAAGAAGCAAAGGTTCTTTGTTACCCTGCTCTCTTTCAGATAACACCTCCCTACCTGAGGTCTCAAACAAGTGGTACGCAGGCCAGAATTCACCCACGGGCTTGTTTAATTTGGTACATAGTGTTTTAAGATAACTTGACAACCCCTGAAGGGCTTTGAGTTTGTGGCCCTGGCCTCTCATCACACTCGCTTTATTGAAACCGTTTCAAGGGGACAGCGGTGCCATTTTCTGCAAAGTTGAAATCGCAAGCACCTGGCAGTGAACATGGGGAAGCTGGCTTTGAAGCTGGCTTTCCCTCCTCCGTCATCTCTGCCCCACAGACTATCTGCAAACAGTACCACCCAGGTGGCTGACACACTCAGCAGCAGCCACTGTGCAGCTGTATCAGCAGGTCTCTAGGATGAGGTTCTGGCAGTTACTGTAGCACCACATGGCTATAACAGGAGAAGGATGGGGGGAGGGGAATGACTATATTCAACTTCAGAGGGGAGCTTATGTTTCCCTTGGTGGAGCCAGGCCAAGGGCTCTGACCTCACACTTCCCTGGCAGAACCTTTCTCTGCTGTAATCATCTGGAAGTCATATGTCCTTAGCGCTGGTGTGACAGGAACAAACACAAGCCATCATCCTATAAACAGAGGAGGCCAGCCTTCCTGAACCCAGCAGAACACGGCTCCCTCCACGGCTGGGGTGCCTATCGTTAGTCTACAAATAGCATCATATCCCTCGACAGCTCAGTCCTTTTGTCCTTACCCCTACTCAATACACAGCCAGTGTCTTTTCTAGGTGCTGGACTTCCCTGGAGAGTTGAGCAAAGAGAAAGTAGGAATCAGACTCTGTATTATTACATGAAATTCAGCATGAAGCCTTGCTGGCAATTAGATTATGTCAAGGTATAATAAGTCATAGAATTTAAAAATCTAAGAGTTGGAAGGCACCTTTTGAAAGGAAGGAAAACAATCCCTTGTGACACGATGCTTGTGCAAGGATCTTACAGCCCCCTCTTTACTATGCTGTGTTAAACCAGTATTGTACTGATGAGGCAGAGATCTTGCCTACCCTCATGAAGGCACTTCCTTTTGCCTCTAAAATCAATCCTCTCCAGCCCTAGAGATACTCATAACACTCGAAATTGGGTATAAGGACAAGTTTGATATTACTTTTCTACCCAGCAGAGCTTCAGCTTCTCACCCTTTCCTACCACCTAGAAAAATCTCTGCCCTCAGCAAAGTGGCCTCCCCAGGGGACCTAGCAATGTGCATCCCCCATGAGTTTGCCATATCCTTCCCAGCTCCTTTTCCTGCCTCCAGATGCCTGGCTTGGCTGGACCCAGTATATTCCTCACCATGGTCATGTAGGTGGCCTCTGACTTCCCACTTGATTCTTCATCAGTCACCTCTTGCATGGTTATTGAGGAGTAGATATGTTTCTAGAGGGGAGAAAATCATGTAAATATTCCTAAAACTCAACAAGTCTTACATGCCAGAGAAAAGGCTATCTACCACTCTTCAAGGGGACAGGGGTTCTCCAGGGCATCAACCACAAAAATCAGTAGGTCAGAGGGTTACTAAGAGCTAGAGAATTATCATAGGTCACGATAATCCAGTCCTCAGACTTCCTGGAAATTAAGAAAATTAGCTCATCAGCAAAGAGCACTATCTTAAGAACCAAATTCTTTGGTTCAAAAGTCAAACATCTGGGACTTCACTGGCGGTCCAGTGGTTAAGACTGCACGCTCCTAATGCAGGGGGCACGGGTTCGCTCCCTGGTCAGGGAACTAAGATCCCACGTGCTGCATGGCGTGGCCAAAAAAAAAAAAAAATCAAACATCTTTGTTTGGATGGGCATTGAGGTAGCAGCAGAAAATTCTTATCTTGCCAAGTTATTTGTACTTTGTGATTATTTCCTCCTAATTAGAGTCATGGCAGGACGGCATTCATCAGCAGCTAACTGTCATCATCTCTTCCAGAGGGTTTATATGCCAGGAACAGCCCTCACTGACCTTCACATCTGTGAGGTCAGAGGTACTTCGTGATTCCCATTCCCGTCACTCTTTGGAGAAGTGACATCATCCATTGACAAAGCCTTGGACTTCCGGAGTCCCCTGCACTATGTTGTGAGAAAATCCTACTCTTGGGTCACAAACAGCCCAAAAGATGGAAAAGTAAATATGATAAGAGGAATTTTTCAAAGGAAAGAAAGAGAGCGAGAGAAAGAGAGAGAGATGGAGGGAGGGAGGAAGGAAGGAAGGGGGGAAGAAAAGAGGGAGGGAGGGGGAAGAAGGGAAGGAGGAGGGAAGAAAAGAAAGAACAAAAGGGGAAAAAAAGAGTTCAAGGAAACTAATCCATTTCTCAGTCCCTGGTAGCAATTATTTATCACAACTAATATGGTTGAAAAAGTTCTTGAGCCTCTCTTTGTAAAGGTCCCCGAATATTTAATCTGAACAGTTAACTCCTTCACTTAACTCTGGAATGGATCATAATCATCCTTTATATTGATACAGTGCCTCATCGATTACAAAGCACTTGCCTACCATCATGTTATTTGAACCTTACAACGGGGCAAATATGTTTGTCCTTAAACTCATTTTACTGATGAGAAAACTGAGGCTCAGGGAGGTGGCAGAGCTGGGCTTGAACTGGGACTTTCCCAGGGCCCTCCAAGGATGTACTGGGCTGCTGGACTGGCCCTGTCCGCCCCACGCCACTCACTCTCCCAGGGACTCATTGCAGTGATGGAGATTTCCTGAGCCGCTGCTCTGTGCCAGGCACTGGATGCGCCGAGACATAACGAGGAGTGAGACACAGTTCACACCACCTGGATCCTGGAGCAGTCTCCGCCTTGCCCTCACTGAGCACAGCAGCAAAATGGCAGAGTTCTTCTCTTACCTCTGGATTTGCCTTCTTTGTGTTCTCCAGGCTTTTGACCAAGGTCGTGGAAGTTACTGAACTGCAAAGGCATGAAAAGCACGTGGAATTACCCAGCCAGCACCGTATGTTCAAGGGTGACAACATGAGACCACACAGAGTTTTATGAAGAGAGAGACCCCAGGTTAGGAACTACTCCCAGACACCTACAGCCCACGCTACCCAGCTCCGCTTGAGACCTGAGAGATGCATCTCTTTCACCGAGAGCAGAAAGGCATCTGGAGATAGTTTAGGCTGAACGACACCTTCAACCTCTCTATTGTCACACTAACAAGTTTTCTGCCCATAACAATTTTAAGTGAATTAATAGAGAGGGGCCATGGGATTTGATTTTAACAGTTCCGAGGACTGGGGAGATGCAGCTGAGCCAGCAGGGAGCAGCAAAAGCTCAGCGAGACACCAGTTCAAAGGCTTCCGGCTTCTTTCTTCCAGGGAGGAGGCCAAGCAGAATTATCCCCTCAAACACCCAGGGCTGGGAGCTCTGGCCCCTTCCCTGCCCTTGGCCTTTGATCGCTTGACCATCTGGCTTCTGCATTTGCCACTAAATAGGCTTCCTTTTTTTCCTATTTTGGCCTAAGGTGGAGCGGAAAAAGAAAAATAACAACAACAACAACCAGGGTTAAAGCTAGAAAGGAATGTATATTTTTTTGTCTCAGAGTAGAAATATTTTAATCATATTTTCTGATTATAAAGTTGTATGCTCTGATTGTAAAATAACTCAAATAATACAGAAATGTAGACAGTCTGAAGTCGATGTTCCAGTAAAAACCCCCTACCCTCCTAGGACCCACATTTTCTTTTATCCCAAATAGCACTATTAATATTTTAGAATTATCCTTCCAAACCTCACTCAATGCAAGCATAAGTATACTCACACAAAATATATTTAGTATATATGCTGCTGGAGAGAGAATTATATAATGTGCTTTTTTATTAAAATGAGATCATACTATATATTGTATAATACTACTCCTCGGACATCTTTCTCCATCATTACATACAGAGCCATGCGGCATTTCATTGAATGGAATGCCAATTCTTTGAATCATTACCTTTCTGACAGGCACTGAGAATGATTTCAGTTTTTAATTATAATCTTTGCTACAGCAACCACGTTTATGCACAAGTCTCGGCACATCCGTCCAACTATTTCTTTAGAATAAACTAGTAGACAGACATGGGAATGCTGCTCTTCATTCTGAGGGAAACTGAGGCCCAGAGCAGGGCAGTGAGCTGATAGGGAAGCCAGGTTGTCTAACTCTCGGTTCAGTGCTGTCCACATGCCCAAAGCAAAGACCTTCAAGTTCAAAACCAAGTCAGAGAGCCCCTGGGGAGTCAAGGGCAAACCTAGCAGGCAAAAGCAGTTTCTGGATAATACATGTCCCATGGGGAAAGGAGTCCCAAAAGTCAGCACTACTCAGTCTTAATGGGGGTTCTTGCCCATTGACACTATTTCAAAAAGAGAGTCCATTTGCCCTAGCAACATAGTTCATCAATAGTTGGATAAACGGAAGGATATGAGCCTGCCAACAGCCAGTGACACACTAGTGCCCGTGCCCAGAGCATCGGTGTATTTCTGAGGTACTGGGAGAATTTCAAGCCTTTAAAAACACATTTCAACAATAAATAATTTAGGACCTGAGGCCATTCATTCAAAAGTGGCTTCTCATAATTAAAATGTGGTCCTTCAGATAAAGCCACTGACAACCCTCAAAATCTGAGCTTCTCTACGAAGTATATACATACTGTGGATAATTCAAAAATCGTTTCTCTCAGGCATTGAATAGCACCATTATGGTTCTTGCATAAGATTTATACTCTTAATTGTGCTCTACTTGGACCAAGATTTGTAAGTCTTTGTAATCTTTGTAAAATGAGGATGGTGTGGGAATGTGTAAGGCCTTTCAGGATAACAGTGAGCAAAGGGGGTGGGGTTACTATACGATGACGTCTAATGTGGTAACCACAGGTGATTCTGGTTTAAAACACCCCCTTCTGTGAAAATGGCACACTTAGAGCCTTATCACTCTCTTCCACTTCAGGCTAGAAGCATCTCCAGCCCCCCAGCCCAAGAGATGGGAGCAGCCCTGTACCTCTTATTCCCATAGGTCCTCTTCACAATCAATATCAGAACAGGAAGCAGCAGGATAGTGGTGCAGATAATCCCCACAATGATCACCAGCTGATTACCGCCCAGGGTCTCAGGTCTGAGGGTTACTGAGGTCAGCGATGCTTGGGAAAGGAGAAAAGTAATGACAGGGCCTCAATATTCCAGAAAAGAGCTGGGAGCCTCACCAGTTCTAGACCAAGTAGCAACAGCCACGTCAGAAGTGGGAGAAGGTGAGACTCCACTCCATGTTGAAACACTAGGACTCCAGCTGTCCCCATTAGATTGAGAACCAAAGTCCGCTGACACACACACACACACACACCCGCCCCCGCTTACCGTTAAAATGTAGACTAAGGTCGGTGGGAAAAGAGAATATCACCTCACCTACAGTAGAGTTTCCTTTCACATTAATAATTCTATCTTAAAATGTGGTTTACCAAATGACAGAAATAACAGACATGTTAGAGCCTGATCTACAACACTCAGCCCCATAGTCATGATACAAAGGAAAGCACTTCCACCCTTATGGCACCCTTCACTCATTTCCTCAGTTCAATCTGAACATACACATCAAACACCTCCTGGGTGCCAGATATCACTAGGCACAGAAGATACAAAGACAAATAGTGCATGGTCCCTGCCTTCAAGGAGAGAGACAATGTAAACAGAAAACCACAGACTGCTTATAGATGCTTTGAGAGCAGTCCATATAGAGTACAGAGCAGCGTAGAGAAAAGGGTACCCAATTCTATGGGGAGCAGAACCTGAGAATTTGTCAGCAAAAGTTTAAGAGTTTAAGTTGAGTCTTAAAGGAAACATCAAGGTTTTTTTGGCAAACAGTATGGGGAAGGATGGTAGGGACCTTATACCCAAGGTCTGGAGCTCTTAGGTGCTTTTAGGTGACAGGATGGTGCTTTTAGAAACTAGCAAGAGTTCCATGGGTCTGGTTCAAAGGTTGTGTTTGTCGGTGTGGTGGGGAATGAGGCTGGATAAATAACAGGATCTAAGTCATGCCGGACCTTGATTATCTCAATGAGGAGTTTGGATTTTTTTCCGTAGGCAATGGAGAAGACATTGAGAGATTATTAAGCAGTTGAGATTTGTTACTGAGAAAGATGGCACTCAGAGCTGCATGGAGAATGAGGGGTAGTGACTGAGAATGAAAGCAGAGACTTGTTAGAGGCCTACAGTCCAAGACAGGGATGAGACAGCCAGAATAAGGTGGTGGTGACAGATGAGAAAGAAGGCAGATCCAGTCAGTAGTAGACAGCCATAAAAAGGAACGAAACTGAATTATCTGTAATGAGGTGGATGGACCTAGAGTCTGTCATACAGAGTGAAGTAAGTCAGAAAGAGAAAAGCAAATACGGGTTGCTAATGCACATATATGGAATCTAAAAAAAAAAAGGTATGATGAACCTAGCGGCAGGGCAGAAATAAAGACGCAGACGTAGGGAACAGATTTGAAGACACAGTGGAGGAAGGGGAAGCTGGGATGAAGTGAGAGAGTAGCATCGACATATATACACTACCAAATGTAAAATGGATGGCTAGTGGGAAGCTGCCGCATAGAACAGGGAGATCAGCTCAATGCTTTGTGATGACCTAGAGGGGTGGGATAGGGAGGGTGGGAGGGAGGCTCAAGAGGGAGGGTATATGCGGTTATATGTATACATGTAGCTGATTCAATTTATTGTACAGCAGAAACTAACACAACATTGTAAAGCAGTTATACTCCAATAAAGATATATATTTTTTTAAGTCAGTAGTAGAAATGACAGGACTTGTTGACTTGTTAGACTGGGGGTTATGGGAAAGGGAAGAATCAAGTACAACTCCCAGGCATCCAGTTGGATAACTGTGTAGATGGTGGTGGCATTAACTGAGGTTGAAGAGATGGGCTGGGGAGAGGTGAGAGGGGTAGCTTTGGATATGCTGTATTTGAGTATTTGTGGACTGTTTGGGTGGAGTTCATATAATACATAGAGATAGATAGATAGATAGGCAGACAGATAAAGTTGTATCTAACACAGAATATATTGAATGTATATAGAACATGGTGTTCAACACTACTGAGGTAGAGAAGGTAAAGGATGTGCCATTAGAGTACCATTGGTGATCTACGCTAGAGTAGAGGTAAAAGCAGAAGCCTGAATGCAGTGTGCTATCAATTAATAGGAGATGAGATAGGAGACACCATGTCCAGCCCTTTAGCAAGCTATCTGGCTGTGTAAAGAAAGAAATACATAAGGTATTGTGGGGAAGGTTGCACAACTCGGAATATACTAAAAACCACCAAGGTGTACACTTTAAATGGGTAAATTGTAAGGTACGTGAGTTGTATCTCAATAAAGCTGTTTCAAGAAAAATAAAGATATAGGATGAGAGCTAAAGGAGACAAGGACACAGGTAAGAGGAATAGTGGAGTGTAGGTTTGTGCTGAGTGGTAGAAGCCCTTGGAAAGTACGGGCTTAAAGAGCCATGCTGTGAGGATCCTGAGAAGGAAGAGAGAGCACCACCTGAGCACAGGGGCTCAGGTAAGCCCTGGGTGGAAGGGAGGTCAGGATGGCAGGGCAGGGATGACGATGGGAGCTGTTGTAGGTCCGTTTGTGGGCGGGAAGGGCTCCAAAGTTGAATGAGCTCCCGTTAATGGCTTCTATTTTCTCTGTGAAGTGGAGCTAAGACTTCTGAGAGTGAAGAAAGCCATCTGTCTGCTTCCCTCTCCAGCTGAGATTCTTTGCTATTGGCAAGAAGGCGCCTCCATAGACTTAAGTCTCTGGCCAGAGGTACTGCAGTGTGTTGCACGCTCACCTCTATCCCTGCCCGCAACCAACCACAGACAACCCCTGGGTCCCTAGCAAAAGGCAAAGTCCACAGGCCACATCCTGACTGTTAACTGGGTTATGGTTTATTGAACTCCTCACTTATCAACCTCTATCAGTCAGCACAATTGAGTCTTTACTCTCCTACACACCAATGGCCTTAATACACAGTGTTTCGCCAGAATACAGAATCTTTGATCAGAAAACCCCTCTATTTTTGGTTCTGACCCCTTCCTGTTTTCTCTCTGTTCTTTGCTGTCTCTCACCAGCTCGGGGTCATCTTCCTTTCCACTACAGAACATAGAGCATCTCCCGTGAAGCCAAGTCAAAGCAACTCCAATCCATCTCTGAGCTCCTGTACCTTTAACTTAGTATATTACACTAATGATGAGTGAGGTCTGGCAGAGGGGTGGTGTTCACTCAATATTAGCTTTTTTTTCCTTGACCTGCCAGCAGGGAAGAACTAGGGTGAGGCAAGTAAGGTGCATAGGGCACCAAATTTAAGGAGGTATCACTCTCAAGGTCATGCAAGTACAGGGTACAAGTGCTTGATAAGTGCTGGGCTTATCAGGGTCAGGCAAGTACAGCACCTGAGAGTGATGCCTCCTTAAATTTTGCACCCTAGAAGCCTCTCCAGCCTCACCCTGGTCCTGGCCCTGGTCCTGCCTACCAGCTATGAGGTCCCTCCTCCCTCTCCAACCAAATGTTAGATACTTCGAGGCTCTTTCAGGATCACGTGCAGCACAGTGGTTTTCCTGACTGTCAGGTTCCCCAGGTGGATACTGCAGGTGTAGCTTCCTCCATCAGACTCCTTCACTCTGTGGAGCATAATGGAGCCATCGTTGCGGGAAGTGTCCCCCACCAGGTTTACACGGTTCTGGAACCGGCCCCAGTTCTGGGGGTATCCCATGGTTGCCTTGAGTTTGGGGTAATAGCGCAACACAATCTCCTCCTAGAAGGGAAAGGCAAAACGTATGAGATTGAAGGGCTGGGGTAGAGGGGCACCGAGAAGGTTGAGAAGGGGAGCTCTCAGGACTCACAGACTCTGTGTGTGGAAACAGTAAAGGTATTATCAGGAGGTATTAAGTAACACAAATCCATGGACACACGTGTCTGCGGGCACATAGTTGTGCAGGATGCCACCAAACCACAAACAACTCTTCCATCTCAAGAGAGGGATGAGGAAAGTGGGAATGAGGGACTTTCAGTTTTTTGCATTTCTCCAGTAAAAAAAGTAAAAGTCACCTTTACTTTTTATGACGTATCCAGTTGGATTTCCAATAGGCACCTGAAACATGTCTAAAACTGAACTCCAAAATTCTCCCCCAAACCAGTTCCTTCTTATCCATCCCATTTTGGTAAATGGCAACGTCTTCTTCCTTAAGGTCTGGTTAAGAATCTTACAGTCATCCTTAACTCCTCTATTTCTTGAACAACTCACATCTAGTCCCACAACAAATCCTCTACCCTCGAAATACATCCCAAATCTAGCCACTTCTCACCTCTTCCACAGTCTGGTCCAAGCCACCATATCTCACCTGGATTCCTACAAGAGCTTCTCAACTTGTATCCCTCTATACTCCCCACTACAGTCTATTCTCAGCAGATGAACCTTTAGAAATATAAGTTAAATCGTATCACTCCTCTGCTCAAAACCCTCTAATAGGCTTCCATTTCTCCTAAAAGTACAAAGTCCTCCATGAGCTGCCCCACCCCCATCTCCTCTCTGATTTCATCTTCTACTGGCTTTTTCCTCACCTACTTGGGTCACTTCACTCCAACCACACCAGTCTCCTTGCTGCTCCTTGAGTACTGGCCTCAGGGCCTTTGCACTTGCTGCTTCCTTTGCCTGGAACACTCTTCCCCCCTAGACAGATTCACGGTTGCCTCCTTCACTTCCTTGAGACCTCTGCTCAAATGTTACCTTTTTGGTGAGGTCTCCCTGACCACCTACATAAAATAACAACCACAAAACCCTGCTTTCTTGTTCTCCATAGCTCTTACTATTACCTGACATATCATGTATTTATTTCTTCATTGTTTTACTATGTATATCCCTCCATCTTTTTTTTAACATCTTTATTGGACTATAATTGCTTTACAGTGGTGTGTTGGTTTCTGCTTCATAACAAAGTGAATCACCTATACATATACATATATCCCCATATCTCTTCCCTCTTGTGTCTCCCTCCCACCCCTCTAGGTGGTCACAAAGCACTGAGCTGATCTCCCTGTGCTATGTGGCTGTTTCCCACTAGCTATCGGTTTTACATTTGGTAGTGTATATATGTCCATGCCACTCTCTCACTTTGTCCCAGCTTACCCTTCCCCCTCCCCGTGTCCTCAAGTCCATTCTCTATGTCTGCGTCTTTATTCCTGTCCTGCCCCTAGGTTCTGTCCCTCCATCTTGATTGTAAGTCCCCCACCAGGGCAGGAGCTTTGAGTATTCACTGCATAGCAGATGCTTTAAAAACACTTGTTAAATAAATGTGTTGGAATTTTTTATAAAGTTACATAAATATTATTTTTTAAAAGCTTTTAAGAAAAGGAAATGGGCATACAGACAGAAACATGAATGAAAAGACCTGGCTTGTCTCTTGTGATTCAAATTCACAGCCCAAAATGTCAACTCTCATCCTATTTTCTGTAGTGTCTCAATTGGTGGATGACACATAAATGCATGACGAGTTCCCAGAGGTGAATCTGGAACTACATGTAATTCCCCAGACCCCACCATGATGCCACCATTTCTTTTTTGTTTGCTTGTTTTTGAATTTTTGAATTTTATTTTATTTATTTTTTATACGGCAGGTTCTTATTAGCTATGTATTTTATACATATTAGTGTATACATGTCAATTCCAATCTCCCAATTCATCCCACCGCCACCCCCCACCACTTTCCCCCTTGGTGTCCATACGTTTGTTCTCTACGTCTGGATGCCACCATTTCTGACCCACTCAGCACATAGGAATCAAGTGAGTATAAATGACTTTTTGTAGGGATGACCTGGAATATGTCTTCATTTATAAAAGTTAAATCTTTTCTAAACTTCGTACCTTAACTTTTATTAACAATAAGTTACCTGAGATGTCTCTTACAGCACACCTTGACTCATCAGGATATCACCATATGCCATAGTTGACATCTACTCTGGTCTAATGAACTAACTTGCTCTTTACTACTTCAGAGTTCCCATGAAATACTCCTCAACCTGGCCCCCAGGACCTATACTAATCCCAACATTCGAAGCACCCATGAAGATAAAGAAAATTCCCTCCATCACATAAATGGGGCAATGGGGCACAGAAGAAAACTCACAAAAATAACCCAAATAATGAATAAGAGGGCTTCCCTGGTGGTGCAGTGGTTAAGAATCCGCCTGCCATTGCAGGGGACACGGGTTTGAGCCCTGGTCCGGGGAGATCCCACATGCCGCGGAGCAACTAAGCCCGTGTGCCACAACTACTGAGCCCGTGTGCCACAACTACTGAAGCCCGTGTGCCACAACTACTGAAGCCCGTGCGCCTAGAGCCCGTGCTTGGCAACAAGAGAAGCCACCTCAGTGAGAAGCCCACACACCGCAACAAAGAGTAGACCCCGCTCGCCGCAATTAGAGAAAGCCCACGCGCAGCAACGAAGACCCAGTGCAGCCAAAAATAAATATATTAAATAAATAATTTTTTTAAAAAAAGAATAAGAATGCAAAATGGTATAGACGATCTTATTTGCAAAGCAGAAATAGAGACACAGATGTAGAGAACAAACGCATGGATACCAAGGGGGAAGGAGGGATGGGATGAACTGGGAGATTGGGATTGACATATATACACTCTTGATACTATGTATAAAACAGATAACTAATGAGCACCTACTGTATAGCACAGGAACTCTACTCAGTGCTCTGTGGTGACCTAAATGGGAAGGAAATCCCCAAAAGAGGGGATATATGTATACATATAGCTGATTCACTTTGCTGTACAGTAGAAACTAACACAACATTGTAAAGCAACTATACTCCAATACAAATTAATTAAAAATAAAAATTAAAAACATTTTTTTAATTTAAAAAAAAGAATACGAATGCAACTGTGCTTATGCCTAGCCCATTGCTTTCCCGGCTAGGCCACCAAAATCATCCCCCTTGCTATCCCACGGACTCTACAAAACGGGGAAGGGAGAAGAGGAATTAAACTAAAGTGCAGTGGCCAAGTCACGTCCAAGTGCTTTACACCAGCTGTGTCTCCTGTATGCGTCCTGACAACCTGAAAAGCTGAGCTGCAGCAGCATCTGCTGCTTCTTCTTCATCATCTTCATTAGAGTCATTTTTCCCAACCGGAAGCTGAAATTGCCCAGCCAAGTGGCTGAGCTGAGAGGCCCAGCTTTGCCAAGGTCCAAAGCCCAAGCCCTCACAACACCACCACATGGCACCTGGTGCCTGGGTTCTTGATCTCCCCCCTCTGTCCTGACAGCATCGGCCAGGGGCTTCTCATACACAATGAGGGTTTCTCCTCCTTACCTTGGTGTGCCCTCCTGATGAGAACATCCAGTCTACCCTGGTCATGTGTTTCTCTTCTGTGCTGTGGAAAACACATCCCATCTGAGTCGAATCACCCACATGAGCCATGAGCTCTGGGGATAAAATGATAAATCAAGTCAAACTCAAGGTATAATCTATAGAAGCCAAAGAACTTCTAGAAGAGATAATATTTAGCCAAAGATCCTCAACAGTCAAATCAATGTCACCACCAAACACTGCACACTTTCCCTCCACAGATGATCCAGATTATTCTGTGTGGTCAAAGTACTCAGAGGCCTCTCACTCAAATCCACACAATACCCCAAGGATAAGACAATACCCTCTAGCTACCAACATTGGGGTCCCATTGACTTCAGTAAACACTTTCTGGTTCTCTTAATTCCTTTCTCCTTCTCCTTTTCTAGAACCTCTCCCACAAGCCCCACCTCCACTTCAAGCTTGTAAAAAAGAAAGTACAGAAAACCTTGAAGCCCCCCACTTTCTGTTCACCAACTTAGATACCCACATCTGCTTAACATAAACAGGAAGTGGAAAGTTATATAACTCTCATTCTTATAAATAATCCACTGGCTCTCCTATAGCTGAAAAACTGAATCATGGGTAACTCTCTTCAACTTCTTTTATTCTTCTGCAAGTTGTCTTAGGACTTGCTTAGGACAATTCTGGCTAGAGTACAGGTCACAGGACTGCTTGCTAATTAGGCCAAGACAACAGACAGTTTTCCTCTTGGCTTTTCTTTCTGTTTTAATCCCTGCCCCCACTTCCCCATCTGCTCCCCCTTCCCCTGCTCCTGGCTTTCCAACCAATAGTCTCTTCCTCCTGTTTATTTGTATAAGCAGCTGACCCCATCATATGTTTACTGCTTTAGTCATTTCAAGAAGTCCCTGAAAACGAAAACAATTAGAAAGACGCTTCTGATTTTTCAGTAGTGCTCTATACAAATCGACCACAAAGTCAGTTAAGAAAAGAAAGGCAGGAGCTTCCCGGGTGGCGCAGTGGTTGGGAGTCCGCCTGCCGATGCAGGGCACGTGGGTTCGTGCCCCGGTCCGGGAGGATCCC